AGCTTGAGTTTGGATATGTGTGTGTCGGCAAAGAGAAGATATCCACACCCAAATATTAACTGCTATTGACTGTGCACCCACCCTACATCTGCCTTCGTTATGAAGATAGAATTTCGTAGCGCAGAGTCTAAAGACTTGCGGAGTCATGTTTTTCTAACTCCGATTTCGACTCCGAATAATTTCAAAATGACACCTACTTCGAAAAATTTCGAAATTTTTTCCTGTCAGTTGCCGACAGCTTACGTGTGGGACGATATTATTTGATGTGAATTGATAGATATGTGAGTGCTAGCCAGAAAAGAAAAACTGATTGAATTTCAAGTTTTTTGTCAATTATAGATACCCTTAATGAATGCTAAGATCTTGTCATGAGAAGAAATCCTGAATTTAACAAAAAAAGAAGAAGATGATTCTGTTGAACTACTGCCGAAAAAAAACTTGAACGCAGATGAAGTTTGAGATAATTTCCTCCGGATTTTCATCAGCAACAATTTTTTAAGAAAAACTTTGTCTTATTGAAAGAATTTCGTCAGACAAAGAAGAAGCTGACAAAAAGCTCAAGTTTTGATTCAGTTTTAATTAATTCAAAACATTGTAGTGAAAGAGTGATTTGAAAAGCGTGTGAGGATGATGAAAATGCATCTAATGACGCAAGTGAAGATATTCAGTGGTGCTGATTTTTTTCAGAAGAGTCACTTTTGAAAATTAATCTAGTGTAGATGTCTTTTGTTCTATTTTTGTATTTGATGTCATTTTGCTATTAGATTGACCGTTTTCGTTAACTAAAAATTACAATTATAAAAAACAAGCAATTCTACATGGAAAAAGAATAAAGTAGGTTTTTCGGACCTCTTCTAATTTGCCTCAATTTCAACTCGAACTCCGATTGAGTCGTAGTCAGGTTTTGAAGTTCGATGCAAATCTCCAGCAGAGATATCTGTGACACTTATTTATATTAATTAGCCAGTTCATGTCTTCAATATAAAATTTTTATAATGAAATTCTAAGACGGGCAAATACATCGGGGATAAAACTCGTCCCCCATCCGTCTCGTCTCGTCACAGCCTCACCAGGCCCGCCCCGCTTTATTTCTGTCTCTGTTATCGACATTTGTCACTTCGCATCGTATTTCGCAGCCCAGTGAAACTCAAATGTCATCTAATTATGGTTTAAATACTATGAAACTTTTCATTATTAGATGTTCTTCATTTATTAAAACTTCCATATATTATACGGCATATTTACATGTCATAATGATTCACACAGATATATAAACAAAAAAAAATCAGTCTCCTTTGAAGCTAAAATGTGGAACTCGCCTATGTTCTTTTACAGCATGATACAAATACAGAATATGTACCGTGAAAAATCTCTAGCAGGCCTTTAGTTGTTTTTCAAGAATAATCGATCACTAGGAAACGATCTATCACATTTATTTCTGCATTCCACACAGAAAGTTTTTTTTTCTGACGCGCTTTTATTTTGTTTCCCTTGTTGATGTTCTCTCATTATTTTTTTATTTTCGTCCATTATATCTACAGCAGGTCTCAACACATTATATTACTCGACATGCACGCAAACACTGATATTGATTATTTCTTAAAATTATAACCTAATCAATTTACATTTTTTATTTTGATCATATGACGACTATGGCAAGTCAATGCATTACTACCTATTATCTTTAACCTCTTTCATATAGCTTTTTGTCTGCGCGAAAATCAAAAACTGCACTATCAAAAACATTCGATAATGTATTCTAGCCAGTCTTATTTCAACGAAGGCTTTCGAATGTTCTAAAACTTTCTTGAACTGTCTAAATGTTATTGTTGTTGTTCATACCGTTTAGTGTCTTTTTACGTGGCTAAAGAATTCTAGGAAATAAGTCTGATGTTCTTTATCCTCGGTTACTATGACGGTTGGAACAGCCGCAAAACCTCGACTTCAAAACTTATTTCTCTCGAAAAATATATGCGAGTTTCACAATAAAACACATCTTTTGAATACTATACGTGTTCTTCAATTACATAAACGTAATCAAAACAAAAACTATATAGAAAAATAGATAAAGTTATTAACTTTTGTGCTGTTTTACACTATTATCATTGGTGAGAAATAAACAATGAAAATTTCCATTTCATTATTATAGTGTCACAAAAGTAACAATCTTTTTAAAATTATGCATTGTCATTCATGACCCCAACTCTACTTGATACCTTATCTCTATTTTTCTACATCTGTCATCATGCATTATACTCATATTTAAGAGCGCACTCCATCTTTCATATTTTATTCAGTGAAAATAACTACGAAGTAAATATGAAAACACTGTTTCTAACTTATCATCATTTATTTGAGTTCTTTTAGAATAAAGCAAGCAAGAGAAAAAAAATGAAAGTCTTTATTGCTCTTTTACTCGTTGCTCTAGCAGTAGCTCGTGACATTCCAAATTCACGATGTTCAAAGTTGTTACTGGCTGCTGGTCTATCATCAAATTATAATGAAAGTATTGGTCATGCTATTCATTCAATGACTGTTCAAGGTTTACAACTGTTCAATCCACGTGCTAATGAACATAATACAATCCCAACTGTTAATCATAATCTTCATGATAAAAATGGACTTAAAGTTCTTATGCATGCACCAAATGATCCACTTCCATCAGATTATTTTGATTTTACCATGAATATGATCGATAAAGTTTGTTTGATTTATACAACGCAAGAAAAAAACTCTTAGTGTCTGTTTTTTTTCATATTCTTAGATTCTTTCTATGGTCGGTAAATCAGATGATGGTCTTGGTGCTCATTGGTCATCAACAGAACGAATTGTTCATAAATTTCATATGTGGGATTTATGGCTTCGTCTTCAAAAAGAAATTAGTGAACTTACGTCAAAACCGACACCATCAGTTTGCAAATGTGTTTTGGATGTTAAATCAAATGGTGTTCTTCAAGCTGTTCAATGGATTGCTGCACATTATGAATCAGGTACACCAATTACATTACTTGATCGTCCTATTCCAAAATTAGTTGATTCTAAAACATGGGAGTTTTGGAAAAACGATCTTCTTCATTATTATACACCTGACGCTCTTCATGATGCAGCTGTTTATCTTCATTGTGCTACAAAAGACTTTTAAAAATCTAAACAACAATATACTTCGTTTGTTTTTCTTTTAACAAATAAATAAACCAAATATTGAAGTGAATACGCTTACTATTATATTATTTATAAATAACTATACTGGTCGTAGTAATTCCCTATTATGTATTAGTTTTTGAATATTTCTTTCGAGTATCTTATTATCTATCAAGATGTGGAATTACATTTGTTGAAAACATTAATTCTTTGAAATTCGTGATATTATAGGTTTCAAATCGAGAATAATTCGATTAATAAGTTATTGAAATATTTAATTATGAGTTTTATTCTATTAATCATATTAATAAATAATTGTGAGAACAAAAACTTAAACTACACCCTAATCTATAGATATGGTTAATGAAGTGAAATCACCAAATAGAATCTTTTGTGTCGTTATGAACAAGATAAAGAAAAGACAAATATAAATAAGATGATAACGAACTTTTGTCGCCAAAAACAAGAAACATATATATATGCTAGATAAAGACTTTGATGCTTATCAAAAAATTTTTAAGAACTATTTCTCATCGTTATATCAACATTATAAAAGATGTCAAAAATTGTAGTGATGAAAAATAAGTTTTCTTTTTATGTATTTGTTGTGTCAATAGAAATTCTTTTGAATAAAAACAGTGATTACTTGATAACTGCGTAAAAAGTGTTCGCAATTTGTATACGTATTAAAAATGAGATTAACGTAAATTTCTGCATTCCAACTTGTGAACACTTTTGTGATAATTGAGTTAGTTTTTGTTTGCTGTTAGGATATTGCTCGGGTATAAAATAGTATGCCCGTAGTAGAGAAGTCTGTCTGCTCTAGAGTTAAGTAGATAAGTTTCGAAAAAATTCTTCATAAAGAGGAAAGCTACTTTAGAATTACTACAATCTAATATTTATTTTTCTAATTACATGTATGTGCCGAGAAAATGAACACGAAAGAGATATGCTTACTGCAATCGAGTAGAGCTGCAACATTTTCTATACGAATACTTGTTAATAAAAATCATGTCTTCGTCGCCACAACAAGATTTAATCTGTATTCTTTTTCTACACGTATGTTATCCTTGAATGAGTATTCAGACATGTCAACAGTCACTTTACCTAGATATCTTATTGTAATACCAAAGAAGCTTGAGTTAGTTAGACATCCAATGTTATATTTGCAAATTAGTATCGTGTTCAGGTGATACAAAGATTTATGTTTTCAATTATCATAGAATTTTTATACAATTATTTTGAGTCAAATACAATATATTGATTGAAAAATAATTCCAACATAAAAGATTAAATTTGGTATTTTAAATCACATATTTATACATTAGACGAGAAATCGATTCTTTTTCTAAAGCACGTATCATGAACATTCAAGAATATATTTAAAAAAAGTTTTCTTTTTATCTCAGAAAACATCTCCCATGTAACTACCTTGAAAATCGATTTTATTTAGCCTTGTCAATACATGTTTACAAGACAAGGACATTTCATGTTCAGAGTTTTTATTTATCATACAACATCTTGTGTACATCATTAATTATAGGACATGATAAAAGAAAAAAAAAGAAAAAAGAACAAGAGAAAATGTCCTAGTCGTTTATATATGAATGTCATAGTTACTTATTGTTCCGGTCGAACGATTCTACTATTTTTCATATGTTCACTCTTTTTTCTCTTTCGTTATTCGTGCTGTTGAATCAGTCATGCAACAAACCCAAATACATATGCATACTGAGACACAAATACAAACGTTTTAACGAACAACATACAAAAATATTGCATTATATGGTATATTATTGAATTAGAGGCCGAATAATATCATTGAGGGAAGGTTATTTCATATTGTCAGTGAAACAATTATGCCTGACGCACATTTTGAAATTATTCGTTTAGAAGATATTGGTAAAGATATTATTAAATCGACATCATCAAAAAAATCAAATAATCGTTCTACATTTAAATTATCTGATGGTGATGTTGAAAATCTTCAACATTACCTTCATAGATACAATCAACCATCATCAACATCAACAACTTCTAAGAAAGTAACTGGAGAAATATTATTTCCAAATTCAACCGAACAATTAACTACTAGTAGTTCAAGTTCTCATGACCACCATTATCATAATCGTCGTCATCATGAACATGATTATTTAGATATTACAGATGGTTTTTATTCGAATAAACTTTTTTCTGAACTTGTTAAACCATCTGAACATTCTCAACCATTAAGTGATATTTATCGATATCATCATCATTATCGACGACACCATCACCATACAAAACATGCTCATGAAAAACCAACAACGTCAATATTACTTGGTAACCATCAAATACTATCACTTGAATATGCAACATGTGGTATGAAAAAAAATACACGATTACCTGTACCACATGAAAATTTTTCTTTAACGAACGGATGTTTTGGAGATGACGCTGGATTTACAATGCGATATAATCAACAAAACTTTATAGGTATTGTTTCTCGTTTTTCTTTTGCTTTTAATAGTTCAATATTAATCAAAAAAATCTTAATTAAAATTAGGAATTTCGGATGGTGCTGGTGGTAATTCTATGTATGGCTTTGATCCTCGTCTTTTTTCTGAATCATTAATGCGCCATTGTTCAGATTTGGCTCATAGTGGAAAGTATTCAACAACTGAGCCAAAACGTCTTTTATGCCATGCATTTGATCGTGTGCAAATTGAAAATTGTTTTGGTATGTATTTTTTTTTACTCTTCATTACTTATTGTTCATCGAAAAATATTCAACAAAAATAAATAATTAATTAGGTAGTGCTACAGCATGTGTGGTTGGTATTGATTGTGGTACAGGTCAACTTCATTCGGTAAATATTGGCGATTCAGGCTATGTTGTTGTTCGAAACGGTTATGTTGTCTATCGATCACGTTCACAAAAAATGAATGGCGATTGTCCTAGACAATTGGATGTATATCCATGGACAGCATCATTAAGAAGAAAAGGGCTCAATTATACACAAATATCGTAAGTTTCCTCTTTCTGTCTTGTAATATTTTCCTACGATCATCATACGAAAAATTTTCTAATTTACGTTTTATGACTTTACACTGTGTAACAACCATAGATAAAAAAAAAAGTGTTATTTATTTATTTGTTTTTTAGGAGTCTTGATGCTATTTGTCAAAATTTTCAATTAGAATTAGATGATATAATTATTCTATCTACTGATGGTCTATTTGATAATGTTCCTGATCTATTGATTGAAAAAATTCTTTCTAAAGTATGTTTTTTTTATTTTTAGATAGATATTAATTTTCTTTTACTTTTCAGAATCATTCATTAAAAGACGCTGCTAATGATTTAGTTAATCATGCTGTTCGTTTCTATGTTAAACCAGATGATATTCTAGTGATTATGGCACGATTAACAACAAACAATGATAGTACTCATAAACCAAGATAATACATAGATTTAAAAGACACTTGAAAAAATACATGAGAAGAAAATGTTTTAAGCAATAAAATGACAACAAAATGTAATAAAAATAATGTCTCCGTTTGCTATTGAATGATAGAAAAACAAACAATTTCACAGCATTCTACATGCATAAAAGTCAATCTTGTTTTTGCCTTAATTAACCGATTCAGACAGTTGTTTTGAATAAGTTTTCCAGTGATAAACATAGATCATATACCAATTTGAAAATTAGTTTTCTATTTTATTTTTTCGATTGGCAAGCTTATTTTTATTTGATTTCAATCCATTCTTTTGTAAACTCTTATGGCAGCGCGTTGCAGAGATTCATCTACTCTTTAAATAATAATACAGATGACTGCAATTATATACTATGTAGAAGTTTTTTTCAAGACAGCCTTGTCATAAGTTGAAAATGATTCAACTATCTGATAATATATTCCGTACATGTATCAAAGCGAAACTATAAAATGGTAAACGATTGCATCATAACAAGCTGTTTAAGAGACAACGTTTACTAACGAATTCCTGGTTGGATACTATAGAGTTTTTGAACGATCTCATAGTATTTGACTGTCGGCATCTCATCGAAACCAACAACACTTAGTCTGTTGTATCTTGTCTGCTTTGATTGTTAGAAGAAACTTAAGATATTAAACGAATAGCAGAAGTAGACTAAGCTTAACATGGTTAGTATTACATCTATCAATGCCATTTTCGAATGGTAGAACGACATAGCTCTTTTCTAATACAAAGCAATCAGATGAATACATATCATTTTCTTTTTCCTTGAATTTGAATAAAATACAGCATATATCATTCAGTTATTGTGCTATAATAAAAAGATATTTTTTTTTATTTGCATCTAATTGAAATACCATATCTATCAGTAAGTTATAAAAATATATTCAAGACAATATTCTTATTTAGATCTTCTCTCACAGCGATACCAATGGATAGAATATTAAGTAATAAGACAAACGACACTCTAATCATTCTTTTAGGTCTCGTTAGAGGCCGCTTACATAAATCGTAATCTGTTACGTAGTAGGTGTTTAAACGAAAAATCCCCGCTTTTCTACCGTATCCATCACTCATTCGATGATTCTCGTGTCCGGAGTCTTTCATCCAGAGGTATTATTTCTCTTATAGTATTATAATATAATCAAATACGTAGAAGTCTATCAAAGGGTTTAATAGAATATTGGTATGCATTTTACTTCTAATGCAATGTTCAGTAAAAAAGTTGAGATTCTGATAAATTTTTAGATTCTCTCATTATTTTTATTTTGAAATATAATATTCCTAATTGAAATTGTCAACTTTATGTTGAATTGAATTATATAATTCACAATCATGACAATGCGGTAATATACGTAGTAGTTCTACATCTCCAGAATTAAAATGTATCTTTGTAAACCATTAAAAATATGTTGTACTTCTATCAAGTTAAAAAATGAATTTAAATAACGTTCTATGTGAACCATATTCATAAGCAATGTAAAACTTCAATTTTTATTATTTGATTCAAATAGAGATAAAAGCCATTATCGACATGACTATGATGAAAAAAAAAAGATGCAAAATGGTTTTCATTATTTTCTTAACAAGGTTGAATCAATCAATGTTCAATCGTACAAATATATGCGCTTCGGCTAAAATAAACGACATATTTAACTGCTTCAACTATTTCTCTCAAGCGCTGTCGTTTAGTTTCATATTCATATTAATGATATATCTTTAATGAGTGAGTCTTCACTGACATCTTCATTCTATAGAGTGAGAACTTATTGAATGAAAGCTATAAATACGTATGTCTCTTGTAGTCATGTTTTTTGCTTCATTTTTCTTTCTTCGTTTATCAATAATAAAGTTCAATGATCAATTGATCTCAAACAATTCAGGTTAAACGGTCAGATCTTTCAAGATCTTTTTAGAATAGGACGAAAATGTATGATAGTTCATGGTCTCTGCTTCATGGAAATAGATTTGAAGTGATATTTTATTTTGTAGGCTGCAAGAATGTTACTGACAAGATACTTTTAGATTCGTCAGCAAAGTTTTGATCTACATGGATCTTGCAAGAAAGTCAATATATGTTGTTTTTTTTCAGACAAGCATCTTGACTGACAATTACAAAAAACAAAACTCTCGAAAGAGTAGATTCAAGAATATTTCGTTAGTGTTATTTCCGATCTTGTACTGAATACTGAACTATTAGTTTGATAAATCTCTGGAACTTGTTTTTCTTTTTGTATAGAACACTGTTTACGTCACAAAATTTTCAATGTTGACATGTGTCTAAAAACAAAAAAATATCAACGAATAATCTTACTCTCAGTTTGTTTTTTTATACTGATTTCGTGTTAGAAATCGATAGAGTATAATCGAAACGTATTTGCTTTTAATTCTATTAAAAGAATATTTTAAATTAATGAATGAAAGGTTTTTTTCTCAATTTAATTAGATTTGACTAGAAAATTTTATATACAATAAAACAAACAACTATTTAAGAAATAACAGGTTTTATAAGAAGATATAATTCTTTGGCTTCATATGGATTATTTAAAACAATTTCAAGATCATATTGATTTGATACTGTAAATATAAATGTTTCACCTTGTTCAACTTGTAAAACACGTCGTTCACAATCATAAATAATTGCTGTTACTTGTGCATGAGTTTCATTTGGTGCATCATGCCGATGTACTTTAAGTGTCCATTTGTCATGACTACGTTTACGATAAACCACTTTCCAATCTGCAGTACGATCAATAGATGGAACAGGTGATGAACATGTTTGAACATCAACTTGAATACCAAAACGAAGCGTTGATTGAATATCAACACGATCACTAAAATCATACACATATTCAATTAAAAATCAACTTATACAAAAAAAAAAAGAAAAGAAGATTCTATTTACGTTATATTCATTTCTGTATATTCTCGTGGTAAATACCGTTCTAATGGTGAAAATTCTGGATTATCAATATCTCTTCTTAATGATGCTAATGTATGAAAACGATAAGCTTGACATAATAAACGTTTAAGTAAATCTTGAATTTGTTGATTATTATTATTTTTTTTATATAAAAATGATTCTTCAATTTGATATAATTGTATAGGCAACATTTGTGAAAAACGTATTAATGGTAAAAGTTCACAAGCATATAATAATATAAGTGTATCAGATGAACGTGCTAAGAGCCAATCACTAAGTGATGTATATAAACGATATTCATTCGTAATAACAAGATTTGATGTTGAAAGAAGATCACGAATAAAATCAAATTCACATCGAAACCATTCACTTTGATTTATATTCGATAATAAATATTCCATATTCCAGGCAACAGTTTTAATACAAGCATCACGTAAATCATCAAGAGAAAATTGTTTAGCTATAGAATACCAAGCAATACCATTACGAACATTAGGAGGTTTAGCTTTCATTATCATATATTGTGTACATAAATTACGAAGACTAATATATGAAAAGAAAAGCAAAAATTAAGAAATCATTTTGAAATTTTTATATTTTAAATTTCGTTACTTACGATTGTACATTATATTTATCTGCAAGACATAATAAACCAATGACAATAGATTCATGAAGTGTGACTTTTGCTGTATAAAAAAATTTAAGAAATCTATTTGAAAAATTCTATTTTATGTTAGATGAAAAACAAAAAAAAGAAATAATAGATTGAATTTACTTTTCAAAAACATCTCCTTGACATTCATCTTGTTCTTCAAGTAAAATTTCTGATTCATTTGATGTCCAATGTTGAGAATAAAGAAGTGTTGCTAATACATCACTTGATTTAGCCAAAATAAATTTATGTACATAATAAATATTTGTACCAACACGAAGACGAATATCAGAAAATTGAGGATTATTAAAAAATTTACTAGTTAACTCAACATGTTCATTTGTTGCATTTAATGTTATTTCTGAACCGGTTTCTAATACTGATGATAATGAATGATCAATATTACTATTAGTCACGTTGAGCAATTGTTCATTTGATATATCTACATCTTGATTATGTAGATTCATTAAAGGTAAAACATGTTCAGCAAGAAAATCATCATCCATATTTTTTTCATATATTATAATCTATGAAAAAATAAATGATATTTATTATAAGACAAAAAATATTTCTCAGATATAAAATGATAAGAAAACTATTAAAAACTAATTATAGAACGTTTTTTCTCGATAATATGTGTGAGCAATGTTATTCTCAAATGATTATTGTTATGATTACACTTATACAGAAAATTAGACAATTATTGATAGCAAAACAAAAAGAAAAAAAATATTATCATTCAAGAATTTAAATGCTATCTTAACAGATTATTAGTTTTAAACAATCTTATATTTAGCAAAAAAAAAACTAATCATCTATTTATTTTCAGTGAGAATCTTCACTTTAACGCTACAATCTATCAGTTTGGATGAACTGCAAGATGTGACAGCCAATAACATAACACAAATAATATATAGCATCTGGGATGTCACTATATAACATGCATATGATTTGCATAGTTATATGTTTATCATTAAAAACCACGTCATTTTATTCCCTGGATGAGAAAAAAAAACATCTCCTGATTACGTACGTACTAAATCGATTAATCTATTTTGCTGTAGGCCAGTTAGACATCATAAGACAGTGACCCGGGCAAAACCATATGTACATTCAGTTAATTGATAAATAGAGAAAGCAATTTTTTTCGTTAAGCATTTACAAGCATATATTTATTTATCAGCGAAATTAATATATATATATATATGTATATGTACAATATCAGAATAAAAAAGAAACACGACAATTAATGACATCAATTAAGTTAATGATATTGATCTTAAAAGTGGATTTTGTTTTCTCAAAACTGACAATGTATCTGTATAAGGTGAATAAAAAGAAGATCCAGTTTGTGTAAATTGATCGAATGTTGTTGGTTGTACTTCATGTAATTCTTCTCGTTGTGATAATTGTTTTAATAGTTCTCGACGATCATAAATGATTTTTTGAATTATTTCCAAGGGTATAACCGTTGCTTTAGCTTGTTTAGATGCAATAAGACGACGATGTATATGTTCGAATGGTTTTATAACATGTACACTGCGACTAAATATAGCTTGAAGACCAAATTTAATATAATCAAGTGGAACAAACCAAATAAGATTATAAATCCAAACAATTGCTGAAAAAAAATTCATTTTTTATATATTTTTTTTTCAAAAATCAAAATTCTTTACCAGCCCAAGTCCATCCACAACCACGTATATCTGTAAATTCCCAATCGGCATAAACAGCAATGAGTGTTGCACACAATTGTGTTATAATAAAAGCAATAATTAATAATAATGTTGGTCGTTCAGTAAAACAGAAACCATGTGAACGTGTTATAAATATTAAACCTTGACTGATTGATGATACTTGTAAATAAATTATTGAATGAAGATATGTATGTGCATAAACATTATCCGATATTTGTGTTCCAGTATCAACACCAAAATGATTTTGAAAAAAATTTGTTTGAATAATAATTGAAACAAAAACAACTGTTGATGCCGATAAATAAAGACCATAAACAATAGCTGATATAAAAATTTGTTGCAAACGCCATTCATTTGGTTGTGGTGATGGTTCAACACGATCTTTTGATATTGTCATTATTGTACCATCATTTAATATAGCCATAATTAATATCATAAATGGTGGAAAATCATAACGAAATATAAATATAAGTAATGCAAATGAAACAATTATACGTATTGTAACTGAACATGTGTAAATAGCATAACTTGACATACGAACAAAAATCTGTCGAGATCCAAGTATAGCATCAATAATAACAGAGAGACCTGGTTCAGTTAAGACAATAGCAGCAGCAGAACGAGCTGCATCACTTGCATTAGAAACAGCAACACCAACATTTGCTTTAGATAATGCTGGAGCATCATTTACTCCATCACCTTTAATTGAAAAAAAAAGGAAAACATAAAAAAAGAAGCTTAATAAAATTTTACCCGTCATAGCAACAAGATGACCCATATCTTGAAGTCTTTTAACTATTTCAAATTTATGTTCAGGATATACACTAGCGAATCCATCTGCATTAAGAATAATATTATTTATTTCATTTTCATTATTTGATGATTTATCTCTGCCATGAATTAAATTTTCATACACATACATTGTATCACCCATACCTAAACGACGTCCTGTTTCTTTAGCAATTTCTAATTGATCACCAGTAATCATCTTTACTTGTACGCCTAATGAAATAAATTAATTTTTTTCTCAAAAAAAAAAAAAAAACAAGAAATTCAAAAAATATACCTAATTCAAGTGCTTTTTTAATTGTTTCAGCTGTATCACTTCTTGGTGGATCAAGTATTGGTAAAAGTCCAATTAATTTAAAATTTTCATTTTCATTCGATAAAGCAACAGCTAAACCACGTAATCCTCGATTAGCAAATTCATTAACATCTTGTCGTACTTTATCAACTTGTGCTGTTGTTTCACATAAACGTAATATAGAATCAGGCATACCTTTTGATACTCGATAAATTTTTGAATCCGATTTATCTTGATAAGTTACTTCAGTACGTTTTGTTGTTGGATCAAAAGGAATAAATGATTTAACTATAATCATATCATCTATCAAATCAGCCTTGCCATATGATTCTAATACACATGTATCACTATAATATAAAATTTAAAAAAAAAAAATATATATATATATACTTCTAAATTCAACATACATTGCATCAGGATTTTCTCGATTACATGCATAAGCAGCATATCGTATAATATCATTGTTGTCGATATCTGTATATTTAACAATTGTGTCTTGATCAATAAGTAATTTATTAAGTGTTAATGTACCAGTTTTATCTGAACAAAGAATAGTTACAGCAGCAAGTTCTTCAATAGCTGTTATTCGTGTTACAATTGCTTTACGATCAGATAATTGTTTTGCACCAATAGCAAGAGTAACTGATAATACTGTTGGCCTAGAGAATTTAAATGAAAAATAGCTTTTATTTTTTGTTATTGTTATTATTATTATTATTCCTTACATTGCAATAGGTAATCCTCCAATAAGTAAAACTAATATATTATTAATACCTCGTCGATAACTATATCGAAATCCGGCATACATAACAAATATTTCAGCAATAATAAAGATAGAAATACCAACAATACAAAAATTACCAATTTTAGCTAAAATTTGTTGTAAATGACCCATTTCATCTTTTGATCCACCAACAATTTGAGCAGCACGACCGAATTGTGTATATTTTCCTGTTGATATAACTATTGCTTCACATTCACCTTGCTTACATGTTGTTGATGAAAGTAAAATGTCACCTATTTCTTTTGTTACTGGTAATGATTCACCAGTTAATGCTGCTTGATCGACTGATATGACTCCACCTAACGATGATATTATTTTCGCATCAGCTGGAACAATATTACCTAATTTAATAGTAATGATATCACCAGGCACAATTTGACTAGCATCAATTGTTGTCCATGAATTATTATTACGTTTGACACGACATTCAAGTGCTAGTGAAGCCATTAATGCTTTAACAGCATTACCAGCTCGATATTTTTCAATATAACCAATTGTAGCATTAATTAGAAGAAGTAAAAGTATACCAACAAAATCAGGCCAATCAGGTGGTTCACCATCACCATTACTTAAAGCAATAGAAACAATAGCAGCAATTTCCATTACCCTAGAAAGAAATGTGTTTTATAATATGAGTATGCTAAGAAAAGAGAAAAATGTACCAAGAAAGTGGATTCCACATAAAAAGAAGGAATTGAATGACTGGATGTCGTTGTTTATGTTCAATTTTATTTTCACCAAACTGGCAAAAATAAAAGAAAAGCTTAAAGTTTTTTGTATGAAAATAAAGAAAAAACTTACTTTTTCAATACGTTCCTTAACTTGATCATCAGTAAGACCTTTTGGTGATGATCTATATATATATATTTGAATAAAATCAAATAAATATCATAGTAGATTATTGTATTTACTCGAGTATTTTATAAATAGTATCTAAATCATATTTATTTAAATCCCATTTTTCGTTATCATATAAAACTTCAATATCAATCGTTCTCCAATTTCCATCCAGTGATGATGGTAGTGGAATATTAATTCTTGTCTCATTTTTATTTTCATCATCGTTCAGAAATTTATTTTGTTTTATATCTTTGTCACTCACTGAACAATAACAAACTGATTATCGAAATTTCTCAACATCAATACGATTTACCTACTTATTTCGAGTGAATATTATTTGTTGAAGAATGATACTTTATTAGCAATGAGCAATACTTATATTCCAAGTTTGTCTTCTGTTTGCACAAATTGAATCATTAAAATCTAAATTTAGGGCTATGAAGTACATCGCCACGTTTTTTTTTTTGCTCTTTCTTTTTACTTGTTGATTTCTATATTTATTCTTCTTGTTCTCTTTGAACTCTAATCATGAGTATAAACAAAATGGTACCATTAATGCGCGAAATTAATTTATTCATTGTAACATTCTCATGCATATTTAGACTATATTCTTGATATGAAAATAGATGCACGTAGGTAAAATAAACTATACGTGTATTTCATTTTATTAGTTGTATAATATAAAAACTAATCGCTATTTTATAACAGTTGTATTTTTTACCAAATGACGAATTTTCATTGATCGTCAATATGATTGTATAATAAGAACAGGACATATGAGATATTAAATATATTCTTTTATATCAATAAATGAAGTTGAAAGAAAATACTAATTAGATATGGAGTTTCAAATGATTCCATCGTATATGGTTTAAACAAATGTAAATTGCATCTCTATTCAAAAATTAAAAGCCAGAAGCACTTTTGTCTATAATCAAATACACATGACTCAAGGGTAATACAATCTATTTTTTCTACCCAAGGGTGTTCTGATGTGATGTCACCAGAACTGGAAGGGTAGTTCGATGATTCAGAAGATCAATTAGAAAGTTTTTGATAAAGTTGACTAAATTTTGGAAGGGAATTGAGCGTTTTCTTCGGAATTGGTGAGCAAAACAAACAATAAAGCGCTTGAACTTCATTGAAGGAAAACGAAAATTTTTCAATATTTTGGAGTGCCCCCTTAATACACTGCTGCGTCTACATCATTTCATATTTCTCAAATTCGAGATATGAATCACAAGTTGAGACATGTGACATTTCTTTCTAATTAATTTTTACTAATGAATCAGTTAACATGACCTAATCCAAGCTCTAATCTAATAAAATAATATCGATATTTCAAATTATATCTTGAAAAAACAACGAATTAAAAGATATTTTGCACTTGAAATTCAATAGTGAATTAACCATCGCACAATAAGTCTGTATTATACGCATTTAATAAAAGTCAATGAGTTTCTTCTCGTTTCTTTACATAAAGCATATTCTATGGATTCCACTGTCAACTGATGTTTGTATATTCAGCCAAATGAGTATTAGAATAGTGCGACTTGTAATCAGTTGTTGCCTACGTAACAATAATGATGCTATAAATATTACTCTGTTATTCTTGAAAGATGAATAATTTTAATTCGAACATTTGTCCGTAAAATACAAAATCGAAAACTCACTGAATATGCTTTTTTGCTTAGGTCTATAATGACGTCTTTTACTGATTATTTGAAAAATAATGCATGCTCAATTAGTAGATATTGGAAAAAGGAAAAATTAAAACTATAATAGTCTACTTATACATATCATGCCATATTATATTGATCTTATCTGTATTTCATATTATTTCTAAATTTATTGTCTTGAGTTTCATTTGAAACTACAACAATGAATTCAGTGCAACATTTAGTATCTTATAGTTATAAGTAATAATTCAAGTACTGATCATGTTTTCTTTAATTCATTATATACATATGGGTACTCACTACTCTCGGGAAGCAGTTTTTTATTTCCTCTTTCATGCTAGTTAAGTGGAAAATAATTAGAAACTAACTTTGGCCAAAAAAAAGTTGACAACTTTTACGTAAAATGACCGAGATTTGAATGTTTCAAAACAAAGAGATTGATCATATTTCTATAATTTTATAAAAATATCATGTTTCGAAACGTTTCGATATCAATTAAATCTTAATTAAAAGAAGAATCTTTTGGTAGTTGTTCTAGTCTATTGGTCTCCTATTAATGAGCTAAATTATGATCTCAAAAAATATTTTAATAACTTGGATGTTTCTCATTAAATGTTCTGAGAAAAGGCTCCAAATCTCGGTCATTTCAGGTTAAACTCGGCAATTTTTTTCAGTTAAAATTGTTTTCTAACCTCTTTCAACCTAACTAGCATGAGAAAAGCCGATAAAACAACTTTTTCCAGAAAAAAGTGGTTGGATACTCATAGATTTATTCATGTATATAGAACAAACTTTCTTGAATCATTCATCTATGTTTTATATATATAGGGTGTCCAGAAAGTCATTAGCCAAAGAAAATTTTGAATATCTCAGCCATGCCTTCGCCAAATGAGCTGATCTTTTTACTGTTGATAGAAAACTGTTCCTAGTTCATATTCATAAGAATAATGTTAACAGATACTGCTTCAAAGTATCACTATTGACTTCAATAAAGAAATATCATCTTATACGAATTTTGAAAAAATTTCACTTAGCGTGTGTTTTAAAAGTTACTGTGAAGAATAAATTTGAATAAGTATAGTATAGTCCAACCAAAGTAGAGTGATTCTTTGTAAAGTATAGAGACATATTCCCGATTAGATTCGTGTCAGATAAAATAAGATATCTTACACAAGCTAAAGTTATCATACGCGTAAATAATGTTCTACGAAACAGCATCTGTCAACGGTATTCTTAAGAATACGTGCTAGGAGAAGCTCTTTAGTAGCTTTAAAAATGTCAGTTCATTTGGGCAAAACATGTTTGAGATTTATTAAAATTTTTCTTTTGCTAATGGTTTTCTGGACACCCTGTGTAGTCATTTCAATGCTTTAGTCTCGTTTAACTAAGCTTGTTGTGAGAACATTAATGTTTCAAACAGAAGAACACAAGTATTCGATATCTGAATAGTTTATTCTCAATAAAACCGCAACATGTGTACTTCAATCGACTTCACATCTGCTACACAACGTAGACCCGTAATGATATTATACGGTTATTTCTACATTCGAAATCGTCAAATCGGCGAAAAACTTATTGAAGTTGTAAAATTCAGAAAAAAAGATTAATTGTTATTATCGCATACATACATGTATTATTGCTACTAACGCCACACATGCTGTCATTGTTAAACGTCATGGTATTCATACAACAAATTGTAATCGTGATGCAATTAAAATATCAATAAGAAAGTTCCGTCGATCTTGCAAATAATACACAACAGTCAACTGGTACTATTTTATCATAATATATATCACAGTTACCTAATCGAGTACGTTTGCCATCATTAGATTAGGATATCCTGATACGACATGATCACTTGCACCATTGTATGTATCCATATAATCATCAAAATGAGTTTTTACTCTTTTGCTTCATTAACATATTTTAATTTATGATTTTGAAACTAAAAAGGAATTGTTATTTCTTCGATCTCTGGCTTATTAAAACTTATTTATCGAAGTGAAAATTAGATTTTATTGTGTCATGTGTAAATTACCAGTGTGCAAGACAGAGGTGTAAGCCGTCCAGCTGCGCCGCCGTCACGGAATCGGAGATAGTTTCACGAATTTTTTAGCCGCCACCGCTGTGAAAAAGTTAGTTCAGCCGTTGCGCCGCGGCCACGAACGAAAATTTTTGATAATAGTGCGATGCGCCGCTGCCACTGATATTTTTAGGAGCAAAAGCGTTTTTTTTTTGTTGTTTTTTAGTTGTCAAAGCCGCCAGTGCAGAAAAACATAAAGTATAGTAGCCGCCGCCGCTATGGAAAAAAAATTTTTACAATTAAAGCTGCCGCCATGTAAAAAAAATTGGACCATTAAAACAGTCGCCGCTGTTTGACCCTTCGGCTCACACCTCTATGCAAGACTCGCCGTGCGCATCTTTTGATATTCTGCTGGTTTAATGTGAATATCATAGTGCTTTAATTTATCATGAAACATCAACATGATTACAATATATTTATAGCTTTTACATTCTGAACAAAAATAAAATTAATTAGCAAAGAAATGTTTGGAACAAGTGACAACAAGTTTTTTTTACTATCAAGCGATCAGTAAATTAAGTTCAAATAAAATATTTACTGATATGTTGAGGGCCAGGATGTGGTGGGTCTCTAAATTGTCATTCTCATGCTGATAGATATTTCAATGGCCTCACAATNTAAAATTCATCATATCACCTATTTGAAATTATAGCGTTACCCCCGTGGAATAATATTTTTTCCAACCGTGTACATCGAAAACACAGAAGCATTACTTGTATTCATATCAGTACCTATTCAGTTTGCCGGAAATTCACCGGTTCAAGAACAACTTATAAACGGCCGTTTTCCGGCCGGACCGGACCGTTTTCAAAATTTCTTACCGGTTCCAGCTCTGTGGGATAGTAATCGAACGCGAGCTAGTTAGTTGTCTTTATTTTAGATAATATGACTACTCTATCTAATCTGATATCATTTCTATTTGCATTAAAAAAGAAACTCATTGTTGATAATGGACAACTCTGTATTTGAACTTGACATAACCGCAAATACAATAAAACAGTATTGATGTGAAAAACTACTTTGTACTGTGGCTTTGTATACAGATATAAATGATGCTGTAGTAAGAGCTACAGGTAATCATTCATTCACCTGAACCGGAAAATTGTGATTCGAATGTTCAAACAAATTATAAAAGTACGCACTATCAAAACAAAAATCTTACATTGAAAATATACGACGAAAAAATCATCAAGATCTCGTTTTAAGTCGTAAGTAATTACTATCCTTCCATCAAAAAGGGAAATAGGTAGTCGAGTACTTCTTTTTCTTTGACTGAAGTAAGCTTTTTCAACTTCATTCATAGGATACAGCAAGACATCTTCAAACAGATATTATCTATGATTTTCAAATTTCCTGTGTACCTGAAGCTTATACAAAATCGCTAAGAGTTACCTTATACTCAGGTCACGAAAAGGGTGATATTGATGCTAATGAACTTTTTACTTCATTATCTTACGTTGTTGCTAAATAATCTTGTAATAATAGATAACTGAATTATCATAAATTTATTTTTAGTGACATTTCTCTAGATGGCAGGTATGAATTTTTCTATTACTTTTCTTTCCTCAATAAATGATTTATCGATGCTGTAAATTATTGTAATGAAAATCAATATTTTTCCTTTTCGATGTTTTTCATTCGACGTTTCACTTTTCGACATTTCTCTCTTCGATATTTTTCTTTTCGATATTTTCTTTCGACATTTTTCTTTTCTTTCTTTTTCCATCATACCAAGAAATAGACGAGCTTTTCTCTTAGAAATTTCTTTGAATAGATAAAAAGATGGTCGAAATTATTGAAGAAATATTGTAAAAATCTTCTCATTATTCATTTTCTTAAATCAAATTCAATTTTTATTTAGATGAAAATAAAAATAAATTTAATTTATATAAAAAATCTATTTTAACTAATAATGTTTATTTTATTGATTTATCTATATATACAAAGTAGAAAATAAAAACCATGAGATAATGTTAAAATATCTAGTTGATTGATATGGATCTATGAAGGAAAAACGAAAAACAAACATTCAAATACATATATTCTTAACTATTACTTTTACTTATTGATTAATGTTTGTTTTTGTCGTTTTTCTAATTCTTCTTCTTTAAGTTTATCCATCTTCTTTTGTCGTATTATAAGTTCATAAATTTCAATTGCAACATCAATGACGAAGTCATCAACACATTTTAAAGATCTACAGAGAAAAAAGATTTGTTGTTTTTCGATAATTAATTCGTAAAATATGTTTTGAATTTACCCATCATTTTCATTAATAATATTATTTACAGGAATTTGAAAATGTAACTGATTACATTCATCCTAGAAAATGAAAAAGAATTGAAGATAATGTGTAATAGTTTATAATTACTGTGTTAAATTTAATGTAAAAATTTTCATTATCAAAAAATTGTTTTGTATGTATGATGAAATTGTCTCCAAAATAATCAATATCGATGGAATTCGTTTCATTTTTTCTCAAATCAATAGTTTTCTGAAACTAAAACTATAAAAGTTAATCAACTGAAAAAAAAACCGATTCATTCTTACTTTGGGTATGAGCAAAGCATGTGGATTATTACCAACATTTGTTAAATTATTTTCACTTTTTATTTCATCCATAATTTGATTATACTATAAGGAAATATAAGTGAAACAAATGAAAAAAAGACAATTAATACTTACTTCGTTGTTCTTCACAATATTAAAATTTCTACTTAAAAAAGTCCAATGAACCAAAAGGATTAATTTTTCTTTTGGATGTTCAATTTTATTTCTGTGTGCATGTAAAAGAATATCAAGATATCGACAGTTTTTCGTCATTTATATCTACAAAAATAATCAATCATTTCATTGTTTACGTACAAAACAAAAAAATTAAGTTTTAAATAATAAATAACAAAAAAAACTGCTCTATCTAGACATTTTACCTAATTATAAAATCAACTTTAATTCATTCAATAAAACCTCAATATGAAAAAATCAGATGTAAAAGTGAAACTTCTCAATAATATTTTAAATAATTAACTTTCATGTCTTTTCTTACAATAATCTTCACTAAGATAAAACTTAAATAACATAAATAAAATGTAACATTATTTATTCTTTTTCTTATAAATGAAAACAAACTTTACCTAGATAAATTATAACTTGGATGAGAGAAAAACGTTTATTACAGTATACTCAATTCTATATCTTTCTTATTGTTTTGTTTGTTTATGTTTTATATATATATATATCGAAGATGAGTTACAATACTCGACGAAATTATAAAATATTCGTCAGACAAATTTGACGAAGTTGCAGCTATTGTGTGTGATAATAATGTTATAAACTTCGTCTCGTCATTTTTGTCTAAAGAAGTTAAAAGTTCATCGAGCAATGTGACTTCTCTATCATAGATATACATTAGTGTTGAAACTGATGCTACCTTCAATTTTAGATTCATTTAAGGAAATATGATAGTCAAAATTAGATGCACATTCGTTCAGGTCATTTTTTTTCATATAATATAGAATAGAGAAGTTCATTTTAAGATTAGACTTAAATAGTGAGACGAATGTTAAATTGACTAAGATCTATATCAGAATAAATACACTCTTTCATGTACTTAATGATAAGGATCGGGCTTAAGGGGACCCCCCTTTCCCAAGCCTAAAATTTTTTTTCAGATTATTTTTTTTTTATATAAAGGTGTATCAAGGTCTCCTTTAGGTGTGCTATAAAAACTAGAACCATCCGAGGTCGGGAAGTCTCTGAAAAACCAGGTTTTCTGGAGACATGCGACAAAATTTTTTTTTTCGCTTATAGTACAGATATACTACGTATACGTAGTATATCTGTACTATAAGCGAAAAAAAAAATTTTGTCCACAAGTTTTTTTCATTTTGCATTTTTCTCGAAACTAGTTTTTTGGGTATCAAAAACCAGTTTTCCCCCTTTTTCTCCGCCATTTCAAGTCCGATCCGACTGAAAATTTTNTATTTATAAAACAATGAATGTTCAAACAACTACAACTTTTTTGAAAAGTAAAAGCCATGTATGAAAAAAGTTGACGAAAACATTTGTTTTTGAAAATCTTCAAAGTTTTTAGGAAAAATAGAGGATAAGTTCAATGAAAAATATATGGTTAGGTAAAAAAAAGAAGAATCTATTATTTTTTTAAAAGCATGCAATTTTCAGTGCGTCAGTGAGTCGTAAAAAAATTACCTGAGAACCCATGTAAAAAAAATGACGAGGAAAATCAGATTTTAATCGATTTTTTTCTCATTAATAATCGATTAAAATGGGACGATTTTAATCATAAAAATCGATTTTTGAGGATTTTTCACTGCGTAATCGATTTTTTCTGATTAAAAATGTGATTAAAATCGGGACACTTTAATCGATTATTAATCAGAAAAAAATCGATTAAAACCGAGGAAAATCGATTATTTAGATTTTTCCGAAAAAAAAATCGATTTTAATCGATTGAAATAATCGATTAAAATCGATTAGATTATTAATCGGTTATTTAGATTTCTCAGAAAGAAATCGATTTTAATGGATTTTTACTCAGTAAAATCGATTATAATCGATTCTCGACTGGAATTTCATCAGAATTTGCCACTTGTAATCGATTTTTCTCTCAAAAATCGATTTTAATCCGATTTCCAGGCTTGTTTTTTTACATGGGCATATGTCACTTTCTTCTTTCTGTTCTATAACTAGATATTTTCCTATATTCACATTCGTTTGGTATTTTCTAATGTGGACGCTGACTAGAATTTACTTATATTGTATGTGGATATTTTCAACATGTCGTGTTATTCATCATTAAATATATCGTTGTGATTCTCCGATAATAAATAAGAAAGATACTGAGTGGTAGTGTGAAATCATCTTTGTCTATTACACATTGAACTCGGAAAAATTCCAAACTTAGCAATCACTATTGACTCCGATAAAGAAAGGTCATCTTATGCGAATTTTGAAAACAATTCACTTAACGGCTGTTTCAAAAGTTACTGCGAAGAATAAATTTGAATTAGTATTGTATAGTCCAGCAAAAGTAGAGTAATTCTTTTTAAAGCATCAAGACATATATATTTCCGATTAAATTCGTGTCGGATAAAATAAGATATCTTACACAACTTAAACTTATGCACGTAAATAGTGTTGTTCGAAACCGGTAAAAGGTTATTTATTTTTATTGATTTCGAAAGCGATACTTCGAAACAGTATCTGTCAACGTTATTCTTAAAAATATGGACTAGGAACAGCTCTCTATTAGCTTTAAAAAAGTCAGTTCATTTGGTCAAAGCATGATTGAGGATATATTCAAATTTTTCTTTGGCTAATGATTTCTGGACACCCTATATGTTATTTTGAACTTGATTAAGCTACTTGTGAAATACCTCTGGTTAACATGTTTCACATTTTTTAAAGTCTGTTTCAGTAACAACTGAATAAAAAAAATTATTCTCTTGGACATACTTATAAGATCAAAAGTGCAATCAGTACTTAAACATTATAAGGAACAAATATTGTGAAGAATAGAAACATGATTTTACCAAACTTTGTCTCACTCTAGAACGCTAGGTTAAGCGCTTTTTGGGAAAGTCTCAAGACTTTTTTCTAAGAGAACGCACGGAAAATTTTCGTTCTCGTAGGAAAAAAGAAAAGGTCTTTTTGATTGGGGAGTGTTCCACGGCCTCTCCGTGCTGGTTGAACCATCACTGATGATGTATCATAATTATATGAAGCTTATTGTCGATCCATGGTTTTAATTAAATTAATTTTGGTACTAGAATACATATGTTAAGATGTTTAGTTAAATCTTAATTGGAAGATATTGAATCATACTTCATTTCTTCCATTATCTCCAGTGACAAAGTACAGATTGATTCAAATTTTATAACAAAATAGTATCTAAAGCGTGAGTCATTTATACATATATATCAATCAAAAATAAACTACTATCAAAGACATGATTTCCGATATATGCTTATCGTTGATGATAATGTAAATATACATATTATCTTATTATCATAAATTTCTAACAAGAATTTTAATAATTGATATTATAACACATCTGTTCAACTTGAACTTTGATATTCAGTAAACATGAATAGCAATTATTTATAGATCATAAATTTGTTTAGCTTACAAATCATTTAAACGCATTTGAGTGTCATGAAATCATACAAATCCTGTAAATTCTAATATTTCATTCATAACTTGATTTAAAAATCTTACAACAATCCATTTCAACAACAAACCATTTTTATTTATTTTTTTTTCATATGTCTGTCTCATTGAGAAGACAAAACAAAATTTCGTACAACTGATTGTGTATCAAAATGTGTTTTAATACCAACAGAAGCAAGTTCAGCAATAAGATATTGTAATACATATGGTATAGTTACACGTTGTACAGTATTTGTTGATGACCCACAACAATATCGGCATACATAGCCAATTCTAGTTTTAACTAATGATAATAATGATCCACAACGTGTACATACATATGCACGTGTTTCATCTGAACAATGAAGGAGACGATCAAGAAGAATACCAGCAACACCATGGCCAAGTAATGCATCACGTTCCATTTCACCAACACGTATACCACCTTCACGACGACGACCTTTAACTGGTTGATTTGTTAATGCATCAACTGGACCAGTTGTACGAACCTTTTTTTAATAGAAAAACAAAGTACAAACAAACAAATGTATTTTTTTTACTCATATGAAAAATAAATTTTCCTTACTTGAAATTTATCACTAACTAAATGTCGAAGACGTTGATAATAAACAACCCCAATAAATATATCAACTTCAAGTTGAAGGCCAGTTGTACCACTATACATTGATTCTGTTCCGTAATAACTAAATCCAGCTAAACAATCATTAAAAAATTTTTTAAATATAAATAAAAACAGAATCCTTTTTTTTTTATTCTAACCAGCTTTTAATAATTGTCCATAGTAATCAACAGCTGGATAATCATCATTAAATTGAAATGGTGTACCATCATGAGATAAACCATGTAGAACAGCTGATTTTCCTGCCATAAATTCTAATAACATACCAATTGTCATACGAGATGGAAAACCGTGTGGATTAAAAATAATATCAGGCACAAGACCTGATTCTGTAAATGGTAAATCTTCAGCTGGATATAAACGTGAACAAACACCTTTTTGACCATGACGTGACGAGAACTTATCACCAATTATAGGTGTACGCTAAAAATAAATAGTCTTTTCAATAAAGAAAAGTTTTTAGCGAAATCCCTGGAGGATTAAACTGAAACACAATGTAGTTGTTGTTATTAATCATAAAGAGATCATTTTATTCTATCCATTCTGGCACACATTTTTTCATTATCTTCTCCAGATTTTTTAGGGTGTTTCCCATACATTAGAGACTTCGTTTTAGACTCATTCGATAGAGAATTTCCTATTTTACGAAACTACTGTCTTTATTTTTTTGTCGGCTCAAAATTTTAAAATATAGAATGGAATTTTATTTTGATCAAAATGTTATGATTGTTGAATTGAAGAGTAGAAATATTAGGAAACGAACAATGATGTAATTCAGCCACTAACAGGTTTTGCCGTACTTTTTACTTCAAAATTTTCTTTCAAACTTCTGAAATATATCAAACAACACAGAATTTTGTGTAAAACTTTGTAGCATATTTGAAATTTTAGCGAAATCTGTATGAAGAATTTGTTTGTTTTTTTGATCGTCACAGTTAGACTATTGAGTAGGTGTTCATATTTGAAATTTTGCGCTGGCAAAATTTAAATAAAGACAGTAGAATTGTAGAGCAGGAAATCCTCTGTCGAACGAACCTAAAATGAAGTCTCTACTATGTTGAGAATTGCCTCAACAAAACGAGGAAAACATTTTCTACCGTTTATTATGCATCATCCGTTATATCAACAACGTCTGTCATAGTCTGTGAAGGATCCAAATTTTTACTTGTATACTTCAACATTATTTTTAGTTTGTGTTTCACGGAAAAAAAATATCTATAATTAATTCGAGATTTTACCATAATACGATACATAATCCATGCTTTTGATTTTAATAATTTGCCGTCTTCATCACCAACAAGTGTAACTGACATAATATGTGCTGGTTCTTTTTTATGATATCGTATTGTTTTATATTCTTGTGTTAATGTATTTAAATAACAACAAAGAACTTCATCGGGTTGTATAGTTGAACCAATAACAGGTAAACCATCAGCATCTAAATGACGCCAATGAGGATTTTTTGTATCTAATGCTAGAGAAACAAAAACAATTTAATTAAAATTTATATTTTTTAATAATCATAATACAAAAAACAAGTTGATGTTTGCCTTGATCAATTTTATCAGTAATTAATTCTTGTAAATCGATCATCTAAAAAATTTTACAACTCAAATTTAATTCAAAGCAAGACTCAATCCTTACTTCAGATGCATATATAGCACCATGAGCAAAACCTCGTTCGATTGAACTCTTATTTATAACCATAGCATCTTCCATATCATATCCCTAAAAATTAAAATATAAATTTTCTTTTTCAAGATCTTTTGTTTTTATTCATTTACTGTATAAGAAAGTACAGCAACAATTGCATTTGTACCCATAGCATAATCATCAAGTGCATATTGATTATAAACACGTGTTCGTATAAGTGGTGCTTGTGGTGTTGTAATATAATATAATTTATTATCGTTACGTTTTCTATATGCTAATGATGGTGTACCCATTGTTTGTTTACCCATTTGACATTGATACATATTACGTGGTGATTGATTATATTCACTAAATGGTGTTAAATTAGCTGTTATTGATAAGAAATTATATTGTTCTAATTCTTGATGAGTTGTATACTAAATAAAAAAAATTTTTTTTTTCATAGATATAAATAATAAATAAAGAAAAATATTAAATATTATTACTCCTGGTATAAATTCATCATGAGTTATACAAATTCCGAGATAAACTTGTTCAAATGTACCAATATATTCAGTTGTTTTTGTTATTAAATTTATAACTGGTCGTATCATTCGAGCTGGTGTTGTAAAAATAAATAAACCTGCATAAAGTGTATATAAACCATGAATTTCTTTTGGAATTAAAACAATTTCGATATATTCAGATACACCCGAACGACGACGATTTCCCGTTACTTTATCATAACGAAGTTGTGCAGCAACTAATGATGCTCGATTATCATCAATAAATCTATATAAAAATTCGTTATAATAAAATTAAAATGATTAAAAAAAAAATCTTTATCTACCCAACGACTTGTCCATCAAGAATAACATCATAACAATCAATATCAATTGATGGTACACGTCGCATACCATATGAAATTAATGTATCAATAAGAGCTTCGATTGATGTATTAGTTGTTGTTTCTTGTGTTACTTGACATGTCATACATAAATGATTGAGTAAACCACATAGAGAACCATCAGGAGTATGAACAGCACATAGAAAACCCCATGCTTCAGGAAGTAATTTTCGAACTGATGTTGTTTTTGTTTCAGTAAATGCATCACCACGATGAACAGAACGAAAATGTGATATAAATCGAAGAATATTTAAACGTTCAGCAATAATAGAAAAACCACTTGTCTAAATAAATAAAAGATTTCTTTTTGGTAAAATATGACTTTTTTTTATTGATGCGAATATCTTACAGTAAATCATTTTGTAAGATCCTAAAAAGATCTTATCGTCAAATAAGATTTCTTATAATCTTATAGTGGAATCTTACAAGGCAGTATTATCTTTTAATAGTCTTATAATGCGACTTACGATGGACCTTCTTCAAATATCAAATCAATTTTTGACTGAGATAATGTTCCTTTGATGAGTACTGGTGCATAGTAGAAAAGTCCAGAATGATTTGATTTTTCGAACCTTCGTTCTCGAGATATCGGGATCTTACTAGATTTTGCAACAAAAAGTTATGATGCTCTTCAGATTCTGTGGAAAATTCACTTTCGACTGCAGCCTTTGCATGAACAAAGTTCTAAACGACATGAGTTCATTGAACAAGTTTTAGCTTTTTACTATTTCCCTTCTGAAAGAAGCGATTTGATACCTACATAGGTTCTCTCGTTAGTGTAAGATTGATGAGACTACGATTTTTTTTGTACAGTTTTCGTCTGATGGTACAATATTAGAGATACTATCTTGTTTACATTTTGTCTTCTAACTGTTTGACCTGGGTAATAACACGACAATATTTTAAGATCTATTCTTTAATAACAATATGTTAGAAAATGTCTTGAATATTTAAATAGATTTCAGGTGGAAATTTTTTTCCGTAATCTAAGATTTTTTTTGTTAGAATTTTAGAATATTATTATATAAGTAGTCATGATTAGATAAAATAATATGACAGAAGTAGACTTTTTCCATATGTCATTCTTCCTATCTACAGTCAAGGGTGTCACTTCTAGGAGGTATATGACATCTTTATCTATTAAACAATATTAGTTCAATTGCAATAATAATATAAAGTTAATCATTTTCCATCAATGAATATCGTTTGAATGTCATTTTTCATAGGTTGTAAATTTTTCTCATACCAAGATGATTACTTTAACCTTGTTTCTACATCGAATAATATCCTTTAGAATAAAATAATCAATTAAAATTTTAACACTCCGTATTTTTTTTTTCTGTTGAATCTTTGAACATAATTAATTAAACATCTTAATAGTTTTCAAACTATTTTTACTATGATTTAATTAAAGAATCTTTATAATTGAAAACAAACCTGTCTTAAACCAAGATTTGTTTTTGAATTAAGATTTCCAGTAGCTAAAAAATGTTCAAAAGCTTTAGCTATTTGATCTTTATCAATTGTATCCATTGCTAGACGAAGTTCTGTAAATGAATATTGAGGAAAAAAAAAAAACAAAATATGTTTGAAACGAAATAAATACACTTACGCACTTGTAGTTATTGATGCATCATTCGATGTTTTACTACTTTTATTTAATTTTAAAAATGTTTCACGTAATGATATTAACCATGTTTCTAAGCGTTCCTAAAACAAAAAGAAATGGTTTTGTTTTTGAAAATAAAAAAATTTCAATTATTTAAAATTGTATTTACTGATAACAATGCTAAATAAACATGTCCAGGTAAAAGAATTTCATGCATTGATGGTGCATCTTGATCTTCAGCTTTACATTCATCACGTACATATGAAAAAAGTTTACGGATCATAAATCTAAATTAAATTAAATCTTTATTTTTAATTAAATCAATATAATAAAATACAAACATTAACATATTATATTTAGCTTTATCATTTTTTAAATGAATTAATATATAATTATCAATTAAATAACGAGCAACATCAGCATTTGTATGCCATGATGGTCGTTGTAAACGTGTACGAAAATGTGAACCAACATAATCAATTATAGTTTGACGAGCTATTAATGGTTGTTCACACCAATATGTTTTCTGTAATTGACGAAGCATATATTTAATATTACTAAAAAAGAAAAAAAAAATATCAATAATCATTTTCCAAAGAATATATTTTATTTATCTTACTTATCAAAAGCACTATTATTTTTATAAGCACCACGCATAAGATTTGCATGAATTTCTCGATCAGATGTATTATCATCGGCTAACATCTATAAATTTCAATTAAAAGATATTTAGCGAATTTGTTAATTACATAAAAAATTGTTTCCTTTAGCTATCTTTTTTCTTTTCAAAAAGGATTTACTTTTCGTTGATTATTTAGACGAACAGAAATCAGTAGTTATTGCGACAATCAATATATTATCAGAACAAACTTTCCAAATGTAAAATAACCTTATGTATTATTAATTATTTCGACGATCAATGTCCTCAAATGAAAAAACATGTCAAATTCTCCGCATCCAAACATTTATATGATGATTAATTTACTGCAACAAGAACAATCGTTAGTATCGATTGCAAGAATATCGAGATGGTATAAGAACACCAACTTGAAAACCTGGAAAAAGTGTTTTTGAAAGTTGCCAGACTGAGATATTTTCAACATCCATCAAAAAGCTAAAGAGTCATCTTTCTTTGTTTTTTTTTTCTCTGCTGACAATATAATGATTACTCATTTCTCTTCGTCAAAACACTCAACGGACAGTAAATCATATAAAACAATGTTTTGAATTAATATTGAGTCTTACTTTGAGAATCATAACAACAGGAATAAAATACATTTCTTTACGAAACATAAAAGCTAATGTAATGGCACCGGTATCCAGATAATGAAGTGTATTTTCCTATTGAAAACAAAAAAAAAGTATTTAATTATTTTTTATAGAAATAAGCTTTTTTTAATGTCTTTGAGCTTTCAACTCTAGCTGTAGAGACACTAAGACGATTATAAAAGAGTTTCTACTATAGAGCTGCGGGTCCACTTTTTTGTGGATATAGAACCTGATAGATCTCGACCCGAGTTGTCTTCCATAAATATCTTGCAACCACTGTCTACATGAGCATATGAAGAATCAAAATTTTACTTATTTACTCACTACTCTCAGAAATAAAGTCAACTGTAGATTTATTTCTTGTTGTTCACTTTCTTATCAGTAAACGCTTAATTTAGTCTTTACTTATGATCAAAAGCTTGAAGACAATAGAAATCATTTTCTTATTTCTCAATAGATCACAGACACCTACAATGCCTCGTTGATCATCTGATAAACAACGAATTTGAAGACCACGATCTGTAAATCCTGGACCACGTTGTCGCCACCGCCCACGAGACATTGCCATAGGCTAAAAGTCGAAATAAAATAATTTCAAATAATTTTTTGTAAAAGTTTTTAATTTTACGAACATAATTTCGTCTTGTCATTGTTAATAAACGTAAAATACGTTCATATCCTTTAACGACAAAATAACCACCATTTTCATTTGGTTCTTCATATTTTGAACATAATTCTTTTGTATTCATATTTGCTAAATTACATGCATCACTCTAAAAAAATGAAATGTTTTTTTGTTTTCCTAAAGAAAAAATTTGAGTATTTTATAAATTCATACTCGAACCATAACTGGTATTGAACCAAGATTTCGATCATATGATTCACGTCCAATTAATTTACCATTTTGATCAAAAATTTCAGCATGAATACGAGCATGTAATGTTCCTGAATAAGTACTTTTACCCATACGAGCCTAACAGAATTTATTATTATCTTGTCTTTATTACAAAAAAAAAAGAACATACTTCAGCAGGATACACATAATGACTTAGTCGATTAGCACCAGCAATAACTTTTACTTTAGGTCGAGCAATTTCCAAACTCTACAAAAAAAAGCCAAAGAGATTTAAGTTATGGTTTCAAACGACAAAATAAAAGATATGATATACATACAACAAATTTTAATTTAACTCGTAATTTTGTATTTGTTTCAAATTCTAATGGTAAAATAGTCTAAACAATAATAAAAAAAATTCAATAAAAAAATTATGATTTTTCTACTTACACTCGCAGCTTTCATTAAACCTTCTTTAAGCATCCAATTAAAGGAATCCACATGTGGACGAGTAATATCACACATAGACTTTATTAAATAAAAAGGTTTTAAAATATTATCAAAATCTATATATATATATAAACCTGAATTGGTCCATCTTTACGATTGAATGTTTTAGTTAAATATTCAAATGTTTGATCTTGTTGATGAATTGATGATGATGTTCTTATCGTTGTATTATTCTCACGATTCTTTTTACCCATTTTAAATACAAAAAGATCTAAGAAAACTAGAATAATTGAACGAAATATAAGTTATTATATCCATGAAATATCTAATCCGATATGCATTGGTTATTTCATTTTGTCGTATCATCCAATCAAAGAACCATCATGTTTTCTTTTAGTTTCGGTTGTTTTTTTGATTTAAAAAAAAAATTTGTCGTACACATAGAACCACCAATTAAATAAATAGTTGATTTTAATGTTAACAAAAACTGTAATAAAAAGTGTTGAGTGGTGCTAATCGTCTTTTTCTGTCATTCTGTTTCAATGTAGAGCAAAAAGAAAGTTGTATGGAATTGTGTTGAAGCAAAAAAAAATGGCGACGAGAGTGAGATTCGAACTCACGCGGGCAGAGCCCATTAGATTAGCAGTCTAACGCCTTAACCGCTCGGCCATCTCGTCGAAATGTGTTATTGATAAAAAATATCTTGAATGAGTCGATAAATAGATTTTTGTCCGGTATTTCAATAAAAAAATATAAACAAATCGGTTCTTTTTATCTGAACAAACATACGAAGTTAAAAACTTTAACAATTAATTGAATATTTTCTATTATATTCACAGCAATCTATATTATCGAACTAAAACCACTAAAATATAAGATTCAGATGATGTATTGATTTTAAGAATTTAATTTCATTTAACATAATTTATTCTGTTGTAAAATAATTTTATGAGTAAGAAAACACTCGAAAATAGTTTCTATGAACGTTCGAAAAACTGTATATCAAAATGTATTTTATCATACGGAGTTAATAATGAAATTGCTTTCTACATCATTTTTAGTCATTTCCAAGTTAACAACAAGGACAACAAATATGCTTGAATGTCTGTTTACAGTTGAAACAAGTAATTTGACGAATGTGTTTCTATTGATTAGATATGGTATCACTATGTCATGAATTCATTTCATAATGTTGTATGCAGGATACATGTTAAAGAGAAGCATTGCATGAGTAACATTTATAGACAAGACGATCTTGACAGATCAAAGTAGTAAAATACTAATCAAGAGTGTAAGTTGAACAATTCACTTTTTCCAATGATTTGTTGCAATAAGAACAAGTAGTAGGTAGATTTTTTTTTAATGAATATCTTGAAAACAAAAAAATATTTTACCACAATGAAAGTAGTTTATCGAGTAAAACGTCTTTTTTTCTCGCATGAGAAACAGATGCTTTGAGCACGTTGCTGATTAATTTATTGACATACATTCTCTTTTTTGAACTGAATGCATGTATATGTTTCATCTTAATAAAAATTGATCGTACTAAATCTATTGAACATACTGCAATTGACTTTCGTATCTTGTTCATCATGTGAATATGAAGTATGACTAACAGTGATTACATGTATCATGAAAATAGTCAACGGTTTTGTTATTGTTGTCTTTTAAACAGTACGAACAGATAATATTTTTGAAAATTTTCTTTCAATTGCAACATTCTATGGAACTAGATTTCCATGAATTGATATTTAAAAAGGCATCAAGTTTTTGGAAGTGAAGGCAGAATATTTTTAAAGGCTTGTTCTTACAATCTATGCAAGTAACAGATAAACTTAGTATAATATTTGCTTTTTGTCTATACATTAGAACATTTGCAATAAGAAAAATTAATTTCATGAAATAATTCTTTACATAAACAACACTCTCAGATATATGACAAGAGACAGTATTTTGTAGATTAAGCAATGCTATTGTGAAAAAAATAATATCGAAGATCACACCTAAACGATTTTCTGAATAAAAAAAGAACAAGAAATTGAACTTCATAAACGACCTTGAAATGTTGCTATATGTATCTGATACTGTCTAAACAGTATATCTCATTTTCACTTCTAACTGTAGTACTACATTGTACATCTTTTGACATAATCTGCATTTTTTGAAGCCATTTTCTTCGTTGTAATAGAAACATTTGACGTATTGCAACTCGTTTCAACATGAAAAGCAAGTAACAGCAAAGCCTAGTATATATCTATGATCTGAAATTCTGTGTAGTCTAATGTATCATAAAGAGAACAAATAATATTCATGAAAGACATTTTACATGAATTGCAGATGCTTGTAGTCTCACCTATATAGTTTTTTTTATCATTCATTCTGTGGTACAGTGTGCACATGACAGGTACTTGATGACAACAGCTGAATCTTTTCAATAGAAAACATTTAAATGTTTAATACTTTATAATAAATGAAGAGGGAAATACATTGAAGTAAAGTAATTCGCTCTTATTTCTTTAGCATCGACATAGACATGTATAACAACACTTAGATGCTGAAAAAAACCAGTGCTTGTAACTGCTGTACTATATTTGGATTTTTGAAGTAGTAGAGACAATATCTATAGTTCGTAATAAAAATTTCTTCTATCTATAAGTGAACTTGTCTCATAGCAGACTGTTTGTATAAATGGTGGCTTAAGTTTGTTATAGAAATTGTTGCCATCAATGAGTAGGTAACTTGCTTAGTGTCTTGTCACTTTTCGCCAGAAGAATTCTAAAATTTAGATTGATAAAATCTTAAAATTTTTCGAATCATGACTGCATCGTTTAATTTAGGGCAAAATTTTGACTAGTGATATTCTTGTATACATAATTAGTGATGATTGTAGAGTACGATTTGAACTCTTTTTACTTTTAATAATGCGGTCTTGAGAAATTTTTACTAATTAATCCAATGTCATATTTATACATTTGAAGATATTCAGTAATAGAACTGAATAAAGCCATTTGAGAATGTACAGATAATCGGATGAGTTCGAATGTTTTTCTATTTATGGATAAAAGTAGAATCAGATTGTTTATTCTCAAAAAACTTAAACTCGTATATTATCTGTACATTCTAATGGTTACTCAGAGTTTTGGACTGTGTATCAGAAGGTTTTATCGTAGCTACAGTTGAAAAAATTTCTAGTCAATAATAGCTTTTATTTAATGTTGAAGATAGTGGTTTTGCTAATAGTGTAGAGGGTTCAGTCATTGAAGATTTTTTATTAATCTTTACTTTAGCAATTTCAGGCAACATATCTGTTGTCATTGATGGGTTTAAATTTGACATTTCTTCTATTGTTACAATATGCCGTCGGCCATTAACAAGTGGCTTGTCAGTGACTTCTTGGAGTGTAGTAGACATCAGCATGAATTCATTTCTGCCAATTATGCACTATGTGCACCATACAATTTTTCATGTTGACATTCAAGTGAGAAGATGTTGCATTAAATTGAAATACCGGGAGCGTAATGTCGCGCATAGGCCCACAAGTATCTTAAGCATCGTCTTTGTGTTCGACATTGATCTATTGATGAATATCATGCAACAATATACGATAAGAAAACCACAGTTGCAATTCAGCAGAAACATTTGCATGAAATGATGAATTTAGAATACAACAGGTACTAATTTTTCTTGTTTTTATCGTATCTAAGTAGATCCAGACTGATTCGTCAAATGTGAGTCCATCGTCAGGCGAATGAGAAAGCTTATTGCAGGGTCATCACATGGACAAAAACGTTTAAGATAAAATGGTATATTCGAAAAACGGTACCTTCTAATGTGTTAAGAGATACTCAACGATAATCATCTATTGAAATTCATATTCTTTACTGCTCGATATGTGTGAAATGCTCGGTTGTTTTCTTCAATTCTATGTGTATAATTACGTCGTTTCACCACTTTTTTCTTACCTATTAAAATGTGATGCATTTTAACTCGAATTAAAATGAGACACGAGTCATGTTTATTGAACGAGCAAAAATGTAAGAAAAAACAATATCAAAAAGGTAAACTTTATCATACTGGAACATGATACTCTCCACGAGAGTTGAATACAGAACAAAAAGTAAATGTTGTAAATCTAACAGAAAGACACCAATTACAAAAACTATGGCAATACATCGTATATGTATCTTACAATGATGATTAGACGATGTTATGGGTCATTTTCAATGGTGATCAACATGTTTTACAAAAATAAACTTATTAAAAATAAAGAGAAAAACAAACAAAATTTATAATAGTTATTTTATATTTGTTAATGAAGTTCAGTCAATAGTAAGGGCAAGAAGGAGAAAATAAATTTTATTCTATCTCCTTCTTCATCTTCTTTTATAGTACTCTAAAGTGTATTAATTAATATCCATATAGATTTAACTTAATGTCATGTAAATGAGCTTGTGTCGTTCTAGCAGAATTCATCAATGGTGGTAATGGAACAACACAACTTATTTTTTTTGATCTATAACGATGTGGTGATCTACTTTGTTCAGAATATGGTATAAATAGAACATCAGTCGATGAGGATAATTGAAATGTGGTGTCTTCAATGAAATCTGTTTGATTTTGTAGATATCTCATTTGTTGCTACAAAAAGAAATAATAAATCATAGTTAAATATTTTTAAAATATGAATGTCAAAACAGAAAAAAATCATGTGATTAATATACTTTTCTGACTCGTCGCTTGAGTGAAGTCATATGATTATCAGATCGATTTGAAGTAGAATTTTTTACATAATGATTATCTTTTCTTATTGAATTTTCTATTGAAGAATCCAGTTGTTGCAATTTATCTATATATATATATAAACAAAGAGATAATACAATGATTTATAGAAAGTTAATAGATTTCAACTTGATTGAGTTGCAGATTGTTCATCATTGTATGATCGTAATATTACAGTTGGATTGTCAAATGGTGTTGATGACTAAATTAAATTCACGTGAAAGAGAATGTCGGATGTGATTAAAGAAAAGTGTTTTTTTTAATCGATTTATTTAGATTTTTTTTTTGTATCTGATGATACGACGAGTAATAGATATTAAACAAGAAGAGTAGTCTTTTTTGCATTAAACTTTAAAAATGATCCCGAGTCATCGACAAAAGAAAGTTCAAAATCATGTTATCTAAACAATTTCTCTTTAATTAAGTAATTCACATACAACTACATCTGATTTAGTGCCATTTTTCCTTGTCATTCGATATTTTCCAGTAACACCAGGTCTAAGACGTGTTAATAATAATCGATGCCAATCATTACTGTTGTTTGTCGAAGAATTAACTGAATTCTTAAGATCATAAACGTATCAATTTAAATTTACCCATTCTCAAAACTAACCTTGCTCGAAGCAATTGTTGATGCATCCCCTTGGACATCTTTTTGCTTTTTATATGTTCTTTTTGAACTTGTATCTAATAAATTAAACGTCGATGTCATAGTTTCTGCCATTATGATTTAATTCTACGTGCTATTTGTATGTTGACTTACGAGATCAGAAATATAGAAGAAAAAAAATCTTATTTAAATAAAATAACACTTCATAGACTGCTCTTGTGCTTTCTCGTTGTATTCTTTTTTTTCTTTCTCTTTTTCTCTTCACATCTATTTTACTGTTACAGTAAACATAGGCAGTCAAAACAACCGAACAAAATTGAAATAATATGCTGAAATCTTTGCTAATCACATCGAACAAACGGCAAACATTAACTGCCATTTGTTTGTTTGCTTCTCAACAAATTTAATATGTATGTATTCTTTATTCTTTCTGTTTTTTTTTTAATAAGAAAAAGAAAAAAAAGAAGAAATATGCTTTAAATTCGAATAGGATCGTCTGTTGTTTGAGTTGATTTATTGACATAAGAACAAACTGAAGTATCGTTTGGATCATCTTTAGAACTATTATAAGCTGGATTAGTATGACCGTCATGTTCCAATGTCCATTTTGATTTGCGATGTTGACTGCAATATAAACAATAGAAAACAAAAAGACATAAAGGAATAAGAGCAACTAAAACTAATAAAACAATTGCACCATAAGCCAATTCTAAACAGTTAATTTTTTTTTAATTTGATTATGAATTTTATATTAAAAATTTCTTTTTACATACTATCATAATTAGATAAACTATTCAAATAGTTTGATAAAATGTTTTGTTGATTATTGATTGTTGTATTTGTTAAATTTAAGTTATTTATAATATTTATTTCTGATAGATTTAAATTTATTATTTGTTTTTCATTTGATTTCAAATCAATAATTGAAGAATTAAGAGTACTTATCATAATTGATGATGATGGTATTTTAACTAAATTAGATACTACTCGAAAGCAACGTGGTAGAGGAACAATACTATTTCTTTCATAAATAGCTAAATTTTCACCATCAAAACGACGATATCGAGTTGCACTAAAGCCAATTGAAGTAACAAGACTAAAATCATCACAATTCCAACCATATTCAACTCGAATAGGTAAATTAGTATTAATATCAGTTACTACTAAATGACCTTGTAGAAGAAGAATTTTAACTTGTTGAGCTGGTGTCATTTGATCATTACTTAAGAACATTTGAACATGACGACCACCAGTTACAGCTATAGTTAAACGTTCGACATAATTAGTTGTCTTAAAATATGGTGATAATTGTAGACGATCATCTAATGATATACTTCGTTCAATTGGACAAAATAGACGTGTAAAACCTGTTGCAAAACATTTATTTTGTCCAAAATAAGGCATAAATGTATGACATGTTGCTACTGCAGAATCTAACATTTTCCAAATGAGAGAAGACGATGAAACTTGAACATCATATAAAGTACATTGACCTAAAATATAAAAAATTATCTAAATAAAATTCTTCTCAGTAGAATCTATGTGTATTTACTTGGTGGATGACGATGCTTTTCCATATCGAAATGATAAATATAAGGTAATTGATGAGCATTAGATGACATAGTTTGTTCATCATTAATTAATGGATTAATTAATTCTTGTCTGCTGATTTTTGATAATCCTTCTTTATCATCATAATAATTGGGTATACGAAGACGTAAACTCGGTTGTGTTACTTGTTTCAGATCGTATACTGGTAATTGTAAATCAACATAAAGTGAAGGAACTTCATCCAATGGACGAGCAGAATAATAACGTGAAAAAAAGGTAAAATCTAAATCATATGCTCCAATAAGTGAAGTTGTTAATATCACGACATTTTTTCTATAAATGAATTCATAACATTATTTAAAAACTTTGTTTAAAAAAAAAATAAAAGAATTGATCTACCGTTGTATTTGTGTTCGTCCTTCTAAAATACGTTCAAGATATTCTGGAAATAAGAAAATTTCTGATGAATTCGTATGAAAAATAAGTAAACCAGGACAATCATTACAATAATTGTTTTTTGAAATTAATTTTCGATAATTTGAATCAAAATCATTTATATAACATTCGGTACTTTCCATGACAAGACCTGAACGACGATCAGGCATAATTTGATATCGATGTGGACCTTTTCGATTAACTTGGCATTCACCATCAGTAAATGGTAGACGGCAACAACTACTATAAATATATCGAGGGAGTAGAAAAAAGATAATAACGAAGATACAATGCAACATTGGTACCAAATACAAAATGAAAACAAAAAAAAAACAAAATTCTATAGTTTATTTTCAGCATTAAATATATCTCTCATTCAATGATAATCGCATACGTGATTTTATGTATTTAATAGTACGTGAAATATGGAACAAGAAATTTTATCTTACAACTGCATGGAAGATATTGATTGGTGTATATACATCTTTCTTTTCGATATGTACTAGAAGTGTGTTCTGTTTTTTTTTTCTATTTGAAAATTATAATAAAACGAGATTTTTAGTACCAAGATATCGTCAGTTATGAGATATTATTTATGGGTGAATCCACGGGAAACCAACCACTATTTTGGAAAAAGTTTTATTTCTCAAGTTTTTTCTTCTAGTTAGATTGATCATCGATAGAAAATAGGCTTGGCCGAAAAATATTCCTAAGTNAGAAGTACATTTTTCTTTAGTTTCAGTTTAGATGATGCGTTAACGAGTAGCTTGCTTGGAGTGTCGGTGAATCATATAGTTCCTCCGTTAGGAGTCGAGAGATCTGCTTTAGAAAAAGACCCTTTTTTGAATGTTTCTCATCTACCACAACTCTGTTTCAGAAGAAAATGAGGTACCTCAATGGTGTACCTCATTTTAAAAAAATTTGTACCCCAACTGTACCCCATTATAAATCTTCTGTACCCCATTTGAAAATTAGGAGTTGGCAGCCCTGGATATAACGAATCACGAGTGAGAGTACTCTGTATTTTTCTGATACTACTCGTCTCATACTATCATCGCATAATACTACTATGAATGTGTCAAGAAAGAAACAAGGAATTTTGGATTCGAAAGCTTATGAGAATCTATGTAATCTCTAAACCTTGAATTTTTTGGAGGTTCATGAACTCAAACAGAATTTCGTAAAGTCGTATGAAATCTCAATATTACTCCATGAAGCTACGACTACTGCTTGCTGCTTAAGTTCTAGCCTTACAGACGACCAGACGCTAAATTTTATTAGATCTGTGTATTGATATGGAATTTCAAGGTTTCCATGGGGCTATCTGCAGTGTTCAATAAGACTCTTAACCACTCTAGTCAACTGCGAACGCAGAATCTTATGAAGTTTCATCAAATCTGCCACAAAAACGATATTTTCTCTAAACGTATATACCCTCTTTCAGAATTTGATAGAAAAATCAAAGTTTTTCTTATCGTCTTAAAAACTCTGTCACCAAAGGGTTAGTACGCCTACGATTGTTCTCTTAAGGATAAAAAGAAATATTTTCTTTTGAACACTTTATTAAGCCTCAATAATTACCTGACCTTAAAGAAACATTGATTCTAACGCATGTTCGTACACGCAGGTAGATTTGTCATCTCTAGTTCAAGGTCCAAAGTTTCTTTTTTTTTGTTTTTTATCAATACTTTCAAAAATACCACGACTCGCAACTAATTGATTTTAATAAAGTTTATCATATAAGTTGCATAGAAAAAAAAATGCAACAACATGTCTGTATACGTGGTGTCATATTTGGCAATTGGAAAAGAAAAGGCATTCAACTATCCGACTGGCATAGATCATCGTACTACACATCATTAGCAACGAGAAGTTCATGATATTCAAGCTTGTACCAACAAATATTATGCTCCCAATCATTCGCAAAAAAAATGTATTACAACTGGTGAAAAATATACCTTTATCCGATGCATGTGCTTTATTCGTGATCACGATGACATCAATAAGGTAACAGAACGCATGAATGTGTATGCATGCAGTGAATTAGTGGTAGTTATACATAGGTTTCAATTCATTTTTGACACTATCTAATTCAATCTGACGAACCAAAAGCCTTCATTCATTAAATCCTACATTGTGTTTTTAAATTCACAACATGTCATAAATTGAGAGACCCACTCTTTCAATCTTGTTTCACAAAAAAGTCATCATTATATATTTCGAGGATTGACTGCTTTCATTCAATCTTCAATCGAATAACTAGATACTTGGTTTTTTATTTTCATTTCCATATTTGAAGGCATCGGAATTCATAATGTCTAGCACAGATACCACAATAATCACTACTGTAACCAGTACCACTGAAACTACTACCACTGCTACCCCTACTATTTCAATAGATACTGGAGATGTTGCTTGGATGATAACAGCAACAGCATTAGTATTAATGATGACTCCAGCTTTGGCAATTTTCTATGCTGGTTTAGTTCATAGAAAAAATGTTTTAAATCAACTATTTTTAGTATTTCTATGCATGGGAGTTATTTTTGTTCAATGGGTATTAGTTGGCTTTTCATTTGCATTCGGTGATCCAGTTAGTCCTGGTTTTGGATCGTTTGCTGAAGCTGCATTACGTTTTAATGGTGATCGATTTGATCCAATTTATTGTCCAACTTTTTCACTTTTAACTTATGCCACATATCAAGGAACATTTGCTATCATTACATGTGCAATTATATCTGGTAAGTCAAAATCTTTTTTTTTATCTTCATTTGAAATGATAAATATGAAAGTATTTATTAGGATCAATTGTTGGTAGAATTCGGTTGGTTCCTTATATAATATTTATACTCGTTTGGACTACAGTATGTTATGATCCAATGGCTCATTGGGTTTGGGGTTCAAATGGTTGGTTAAAAAGTTTAGGAACATTGGATTTTGCTGGTGGAACTGTTGTTCATATTCTATCAGGAGTTTCAGGTCTTGTTGCTGCAATAATTATTGGAAAACGACATGATTATGCTCCTCAACAGACCTCTGCTCATAACCTTCCATTAACAGTATTAGGCACTGGCCTTATTTGGGTAGGTTGGATTGGATTCAATGCTGGTTCAGCTACTGCAGCTAAGTAATTCAAGTTTACATGAAACTATCTAGGCAAAAAAACATTCTTTTTGTTTTTGTTTTTGCTTAGTGGTTTAGCAGCACTTGCTTTGGTAAATACAAACGCAGCTGCAGCTTCTGGCTTATTAACATGGATTATATTAGACCTTATTCGTGGTCAAGTATCAATATCAGGAGCTTGTTGTGGTCCCTTAATTGGTTTGGTTGCAGTAACACCAGCATCTGGTTTTATTCAACCTGGCTGGGCTCTTCTTTTCGGAATAATAGCAACATTTATTATTTATATTGCTCTTCTCTATAAACATCGAATGGGAATAGATGATACACTCGATGTTGGTATTATGCATGGTGGAGGTAAACTATTTAGATGTGTTTAAGTCTTTTGTGTTTATAATTTTATTTGTTTTAGGTGGTATCATAGGTGCATTTTTGACAGGATTATTTAGTGAACGATCAATGAATACAATAAATGGTGCTGATGGTGCTTTCTATGGTAATCCGATTCAAATGTGGTATCAACTAGCTGGAATTCTTACTGCAATTGGTTTGCTACTATTTGATTATAATCTTTTTTTTTTTTATGAAGTTTTATATATTCTTCTTGTTAGGTTTTAGTAGTGTGTGTACAATTGGGATTCTATTACCTTTAAAATGGACAATCGGTATTCGTATATCAGTTCAAGATGAAATTGTTGGTCTCGATTGGGCAGGTAAGAATACACCTACTGTTTTTTTTTATTCAAAGAAACATTTGTATGAATTGAAGTTCATGGTGAAAGATGGGAAATTGTGGGAAATGAGACTAAAACGAATAAATTGACCGCAATGACGATAAAACCTCCTGTTAATATTGATCCAAGAAGAAACGAAAGAGCTTCAGCACGTGGTCGATCTCGATCACGAGCAGTAAGACTTCGAAAGAAACCTGGTTTATCAACTGCTGCACTGGTTCGCTCTTCGAAACCCGCCTATACTTTACCAGTTTAACTCTATTGAAAATATTTTTAATATTAGAAAACATAATTTTCTTTTCTTTTTTCTTTTTGATGTATAGATTGTATCTTTTTTCCGTTTTTTTCAATACACAGTCGCTAGCTAGCATTCTTTTCATTTAATATATGTGTTGATATCATGCAATAGATTTCGATTTTTTTGTTTTTTTCATTTTCTTTCAAGCTTGTAAAATAGAATTGAAATATTAATATAAAAGAAAAACAATCATGAATAAATTTAAAAAAGCCGTTTTATTGGTCTGCATCTATCAAAAGAATTATGTCTGTGCAATATGAAAGTTCGTAAGTTAATAATATGACGAAATATTCAAGATATAAAATGAATCAACAATTTCGTAATAGTTTATCATAGAGGTGAATATTCTCAGTAGAATGTCTTAATTTTGTGATGTCAAATGAAGACCTATAAAACTTAATTTAGAACAAAGTTTGAATTACATTGGTTTTAAAAAAAAAACTTGTCTAAACATTTTTTATGCTACTCTAACGAAATGTGCTCATTTCTCTTGGTTTCATCAATGGTTCGATACCTCACAGAAAAGCATAACATATTTTGATATTCTTCTCACTCACACTTCGAATGAAAATGAAAGATATCAGAAGACGTGAGTGGAAGTGTGGATGAATGTGAAAGAAGAAAAATCCCTTCACCAATCCATACCCAAACCTACATCCACACCTAAAGTAAAAACGAACTTCATAAATGAAACACAATATTGTTGCATATCGAGCAAATTTACAAAACTAGTTAGTTTAAAAGTGAACGGATTACGAAATTTAAAATTCTCAACCATTGAACACTAGTTTTTTCAAAGAAATCCGTGTTTTAGTGCCTAAAGGTCTGCAATTCTTTATATTAATCATGAGGCATGAATCTCAACATTGAATTTGACTGATTTTGAAAACTTGTTCTGGATGCATCAATAGAGTATCATCTATAAAGTTTTTTTTCTTTTCACTTCTTATTTTTCTCTTAGATGACTACTGAAAATTATCTATGAAACACTTGATGTATCTTTTTCTTGCTTGGCAATAGATGAATTTTTCTCTAGCAAAGCAAAAAACATGATTTGACAGTAGTATTTTTTTCACGTTATCAGTCTGAAAAAAGAACTTTGAATAAGTTTCTACTGCTAACCAAAAAAATTAGCTTAATCGAGAGAACCAAGCCGAAGATATTTCCATTTTTTTATCATAGTACTATATCATCTCTTAGTCTTTAGAATAAAGATATTTGACTTCACGCCCTGGAAGTTATTAAATTCCACAGAAAATGTATAAAATATTTTTAGATAATCGAAGAAAGTTTTGTGAGTGTTTTTATTTTTTTGAATCAATAATTTGTCACACATTTTAACTATCGGAATCTAGTAAGAGATATCCGAGCATTAGTATAAATAGATGCGTTTTACATACAGAAGAATGATCAACTACAATACTATCTGACTAGAGGCCCCTGTGAAGGGTAGGACTCAAGGGGAAAAGGCGGGACTTCTGGAGTACGTACTCCCACTACTATCCTATTCTTCCACCATACTCCCCTGTACTATCCTACTCTTCCACTATACTCCTCCGTGCTCCCCTGTACCTTCACTGTGCTCCCCTTTACCTCCACTGTACACCCATGTGCCTCCACTGTGCTCCCCTGTACTTCCACTGT